CATGCCCATAAGTGGCAGTCAAATCAGACGTGGACAACAAATCCCAATTAACACATGTAAGTCATAAGAATAATTATTATATTTTTCAAATAATTCTTGAATTAAATTTTATATCTAACCTTCCTTTTTTTTTTGTAGGAAACCTTCTAACTGTTGTAGGAGAGTCGGATCCAGCACATAGAAGGACTCACGATCCCCTATCATGATCAGTTTGACTATGAACTATGGAGAGAGGCTGTTGAAAAAAAAAATGAAAGGGTCTATGGATTAGGTTCTCAGGCACATGCCTATGATATTCATCATGCCTCCAGTTCATCCACATGTACCTCTCAGGAAAAAGAGGTTCGTAAGCAACTTGTAGCATTCACTGCAAACAATGAGGCCTGATTTACTTTCCAGCTTGTTTAGATGAAGTCAGAATTGGAGACCAAAATGATAGCCTGATTAGATGCATTTTAGTGTCAGTCAACCCGGAGATGAAAAGAGCCAACATAGGGGGACTTTGAGGAGGAGGACGATAAGGGAACAAAGTAGGATTAGGATTTTTTTTTGTTTAATATGTGTGTTCATTAATGTAATTTTATTTTCATAACTACTTGAATTGGTAAATTAAATTGTATGATATATAATTAAATTTGCATGTGTTACAATTGTACCTGTGAAAATTATAATGAATGAAAAAAAAAACTCAATTTTTTTTACATGTTACAGTTTTTGACAGCTTTCTGATGGTCCTCCGACAATTTATCATCCCTTTTTCTCTGTTGATTTGATGGATATTGACCATTAATTAACAGATCAATGGCAACTTGATGACTTGCGATTGGCTAATTCAACAACAGACAAGCGGAGCAGTCAATTATTTACCTACAAAGTAACCCAATAAAAACCAACATTTTTTTTCATTTTCACTTAACTGAAAGATCCATATTGTTGATTATTTACTCAACAATTAATCAACAGTCAATCGATCGACAATTAAGTCTTAAGCATAATCCAATAGTTTGTAATCATCGGTTATGAGACTAATTGTTCACGGATAGTCTACCAATGATTATAATTCAAACATAACCCCACGAGTATTACCCATCGATAAACCATCAGATGTTCTACGCCATTGGAAATGCTTTCATTACCTCGATTACCAACAAAGAAAATAGCTAACAAAATGACACATTAGAAAGTCGTGTGATACTTATTAACTAATGGTTTAATGATTATTTTAACCATCGAAAATAGGTTGAATTTTATGAGTGATTTACTAAACTCATTTGATGTAAACTTTACACCTATATTAGTACTTAGATTCTTAATATGCTTACCATTTTAATTTTACACAAATGTTTTAAAGTGCATAAGCTATTCAAAGACTAAAGATTTATGCTTAAAAAAATACACCAAATTCATTCTATTTTAAAATCCACAAATAGAAGAAAACATTTGCTTCCTCTATATGATGGTGTATTCATTGGGCCACATAAATCAACATGAATTAAATCCAAGCATCTTTTTGCCTCCATGACTTTTCATATGAAAAAGGCTTTTGAGATTTTTTTTTTATAACACAGGCTTCACACCTTTTAGTGTAGTCAATTGTAGGCACACATTAAGCAATCTTCTTTTATTATAATAGTTTTATTCCTCCCATATTTAAGTGATCATAACGAATTGTTATAGTTCTACATCAGATTTCCTTTCAACCACATGTCTTCTCTTGAACTCCATAATTTTTAAGAAGAAATACATTGTTTTTTTTCATATAATTTATTTTGTAATTTGTTGTAGACTTTTCTTGTCTTCAATGTTGCAATAGTTTTCATGAAACTCAACTTTGAATTCACTCTCAATCAATTGCTCCATACTTAATAATTATGTGCATGTTTTGGAACATAAAGAACATCATTGTAAGAACTTTATTTTACTACTATTTGTTTCGGTAATAATACTCCCTTACCATCAAAACTAACAACATTACTATCACCAAACCTAACTGTAGATTTCCTTGACATGTCAATATTTTTGAAAAGAGATTTTATTCCAATCATATGATTAGAACAAATGTTATCAAGAAACCAAATCATTGAACTATCACAATCACTATGAAAATGTGTCATGAATAAATTATTCTGAAATACAAAGTTTTCTATAGCATTGGCTTCATTTGTATTTGGACCAACATCTAATTTTTGAATGGCCCAACTTTTTGCAAGTATTACACCGCACTTTACTTTCATGATTTTTTTGCTTCTTCCTGTAATTTTCCTCAATATGACCAAACTTTTTATAATAATAACATCATTTTTAACTTTCAACTCTTCCACAAAATGCACCAAAACCACCTCTTCATAAGTAACTCTAATTCCTTCACCACAATCTCTTTCTTTTTTATTACCAACAAAGACTTTCCTTCACTTCAAATGACTTCTTAATTGTCTTTTCTTCCCTTTTAATTAAACACTTCTCATGATCCATCAATGAATTCAACATCTCATCAAATGAGTATGCATCAAGATCTTTGGATTCCTCGACAGCTTCAGCAACATATTCCAATTTTACTTCTAGTTCTCATGAATTAGTGGTCCCTTCATCTTCTTTGATTTGTACTCTATGCGACGACAGCTTCAACAACATATTCCAATTTTGATGGGGGACACTTTAGAACTTCAGACACAATTTTTGTATCAGATATGTGCTCTCCAAATGATCACATCTTATTTGAAACTATTAATAATTGAGAAATTTTATTTTGAACAATTTCTCTTTCAGCCATATTAATGATTTCAAATTCACACAGTATAGATTGCAGCTTTACCATCATTAATCTTGTAGAGCCTTGAAATTCTTTTTTAAATAATATTACATTTTTTTTTATGTCTCCACTTTAGAAATTCTTGAAAATTTTCTATCATTCAAGGCTTGTTAAATAAAGAACCAAGCCTTTCAATTTTACTTCTAGTTCTCATGAATTAATGGTCCCTTCATCTTCTTTGATTTGTACTCTATGCGCCACAAAATCCAACAAGTCCTGTGATTTAAATAAGGTCGACATTTTAATATCCCAAGATTCACACTTTTCACTATTAAAAATTAAAATCAAAGGTGGAGAAGTAATGTTGATTCCATTTGTTGTCATAAGATAAAACTTGTCTTTAATATTGGAATGAGAATAGTGTGCCTTGTCTTATAACAACACCTCTGAAATTTTCAAAGATTCTTCTTCAATAATAACCTTCACCACAACTTCAATGCTCGCTTTATCCCGAACTTGACTCTGATACCAAACATTTCAAAAGATAGAGAAAAAAAGGAACTTCAATGCTCGCTTCATCCCGAACTTGACTCTTATACCAAACATTTGAAAAGATAGAGAAAAAAAAAGGAAGATGGAGATATATCTTAATTAAAGCACAATACAAAAATTTTGAAAAAATTCTCACACATAACACATGAAAAATAAATCACCATTTTAACTTTTAAAAAGTGAAATACACCTTTCCATACATAGGTAATGCACCAAAATTGAAGATTTTGTGTTGGATATATACATACATAGGATTTGAGGGGCATGCATGTAAATCTTTGTAATATTTAATATATGTAGATAGGGTACTATACTTTTATGAGAAATAATTCTTATCTATTAATATATCTAACACCTAACCCTCTCTATATTTATTTTTATAGCATCAAATAATTTTAACCACATCAAAATTTACTTAAGAAAAAACTTTATATTTTAATTTAGATAAGTTAGTGCTAGTAGCGCACATTTTGATGTGATTTATAGATTAAAATATCTTATAAATAAATATAAAATTTAACTAAGTATTAAACATATAAATATATATCCATTTTAAGTCCTATGGTTTGCATGTTAATCCTCTAAATGTTAATGGCATCTTAATAATGATATCCTAGTAAATCTCTATAGCAACATTTAGTCAAATTCTTGAGTATTGCCAGAAACATCATTGAAACTCTAAAATTATGGTCAAACCCCTTCAAATTTGCAAAAAATAAAATTATTAAAAAAAAAATTCACATCAAATTCAATTAAAAAAAAAAAAATTGATTCTAAAAATCATTTGCTGCATAGGCACTCAATATCATTATGAGAAAAAAAAAATACTGAAAGCATTGGAAATTCTTCTTGATCTCCAATAGATGAGGCATCCATCTAATGTAGCAATAGGACCATTCTCTCCTAACAGCTAGGTTGGGTATACGCAAGCTTTATAAAATGTCTAGAGTGACTAATTGGGGCACTAATTTTGTCATAAAACTGCCATTCCAGACCCTATTCTTAATATCTGTTTACAATGTGCTGACTTTAATGAGCATATACCTCCATGACAGAAACTTTTAGCAGAAAACACCATTCTCAAACCTTAAATCAGTTCATAAGACTTAAAAAAAAATAAATCAAGTAATATCTTGTACCTGAAGATAACTTTTCAATGAATTCGAGCTCATTTTAATGAAAATATATTCTGAACAACAATTTATGCATCAAGCCATAATTTTTTTCTTATATTATTATCACCATTTTGCTTGTGCAAAACCAAAAGATTATGTTAAAAGGGCAAAAAGAAATTAAAAAAAAAAAAAATTAAGGGCAACAATTTTCATGTATGATAATTAGGTAAGTCTTGGCAATAAAAATGAAGCTTATTAGACAAAAATTTGATGCCTTTTCTCAAGGTAAGAGTGGCGCATGTACAGTTTTCACCAAGGCCTGCAGATGGTGGACCCCTATCGCTTGGCCACATACAGACACAGCTTTGCCTGTGTGAGCCTTCCATGAGCATCTCTCTCTCACCCACACACACATCTACTCTCTCTCTCTCTCTCTCTTTCTATATTAATTTATAAAGCAATTTTATTTGTGGTGCAAAGAGGCGAAGAAAAGGAGATTAAAAAAGCAGAAGAAGCCGCATCACTGTGGAAGAGAGCGAGGAGAAAAGTTATGACAAGGAAATTGTTGAGAAAATAAGCTTCGCTGCAATCCCCATAGAGAGGAGCAGAAGAAGATAAGAGTGGAGAAGGGCAAAGGAACAGAGAGAGAGGGAGAGAGAGAGAGATTTGGCACGGTTTGTGTTTTTTCCCATTCTTTTCTCTCCAGCTTGTTTTCTTCTTAATTCCTCTCTATCTCTTTCTTACTAACTCCGTCTCTCTCTCTCTCTTTCTCTTCTGGCCTTTACTAGTTTTGAGTGCAACTGTTTGTTTGGATTTGCACCTCCGATTTGTTCTTTTGTCGATCTAGGAAGAGTCCTCAGGTGGTTAAGTTTGGATGTTTTGCTATATGAATTATTTCGTGTATATCATCTTCCTTGTGATGTATCTATCTACCTTCTTCCATTTATACTTTTGGTTTTTATTCTTTGTCTTTTAGATTCATAAAGAGAGGATAATCGCTGCGCAATCATGCTTCTATGTTCCTTACTAAAAAAAAAAAAGAAAAAAAAAAGTTATTTGCTTGTTTTGATAATTTGCAGCTCAATCATCATCAAGAAGAGAAAGAGAATTGATTAATTAAGCCTGCCGTCCAACAGCAACGAAGATGGCTGCGGCTTCTTCTTCCTCTCCTTTCTTTAGTATCAGAGATGAAGAAAACCTCAACCACCTAAGGCAACAGCAGATGAATAATATTCAGGCTCCACCACCGGTCTCCTCAATCCCAACTCCTTCTTCCAATCTGCAAGTTCTACCTGCCCCTCTCAAGAAAAAGAGAAACCTCCCCGGAAATCCAAGCAAGTATCTTTGTTTCATTATCCCCCAATTAATATTTCATGATTTCCATATCTCAATTCAACAAAAGCTATCATCTTCTCTATCCTTTTTATCTCTACTTCATAGTATACTGCTTGACAACGTTGAATGATGGTTAATAGATCCGGATGCTGAGGTGATAGCGCTATCTCCAAAAACGTTAATGGCGACGAACAGATTCATCTGTGAAGTCTGCAATAAAGGATTTCAGAGAGAGCAAAACCTTCAGCTTCATAGGAGAGGCCATAACCTGCCGTGGAAGCTTAAGCAGAAGAGTAATAAGGAAGTGCGGCGTCGTGT